AAGATGATGCTGTGAAAGTGCTGCACTCAATATGCCAGCAAATTTGCAAAACTCAGCAGTGGCCACAGGACTGCAAAAGGTCAGTTTTCATTCCAATCCCAAAGAAAGGCAACGACAAAGAATGCTCAAACTACCACACAATTGCACTCATCTCACACTCTAGTAAAGTAATGTTCAAAATTCTCTAAGCCAGGCTTCAGTAATATGTGAATCATGAACTTCCAGATGTTCAAGCTGGTTTTAGAAAAGGCAGAGGAACCAGAGATCAAATGGCCAACATCTGCTGGATCATCAAAAAAGCAAGAGAGTTTCAGAAAAACATCTATTTCTGCTTTATTGACTATGCCAAAGCCTTTCGATTGTGTGGATCACAATAAAGTGTGGAAAATTCTGAAAGAGATGGGAATACCAGACCACCTGACCTGCCTCTTGAGAAACCTGTATACAGGTCAGGAAGCAACAGTTAGAACTGGACATGGAACAACAGACTGGTTCCAAATAGGAAAAGGAGTACGTCAAGGCTGTATATTGTCACCCTGATTATTTAACTTATGTGCAGAGTACATCATGAGAAACACTGGGCTGGAGGAAGCACAAGCTGGAATAAGATTGCCGGGAGAAATAACAATAACCTCAGATATGCAGATGACACCACCCTTATGGCAGAAAGTGAAGAAGAACTAAAGAGCCTCTTGATGAAAGTGAAAACGGAGAGTGAAAAAGTTGGCTTAAAAGTCAACATTCTGAAAACTAAGATCATGGCATCCCGTCCCGTCATTCATGGCAAATAGATGGGGAAACAGGAAACAATAGCTGCCTTTATTTTTTTCAACTCCAAAATCACTGCCGATGGTGATTGCAGCCATGAAATTAAAAGACGCTTAAGCCTTGGAAGGAAAGTTATGACCAATCTAGACAGCATATTAAAAAGCAGAGACATTACTTTGTCAACAGAGGTCCATCTAGTCAAGGCTATGGTTTTTCTAGTAGTCATGTATGGATGTGAGAGTTGGACTATAAAGAAAGTTGAGTGCAGAGGAACTGATGCTCTTGAACAGTGGTGTTGGAGAAGACTCTTGAGAGTCCCTTGGTTTTCAAGGAGATCCAACCAGTCCATCCTAAAGGAGATCAGCCCTGGGTGTTCATTGGAAGGACTGATGTTGAAGCTGAAACTCCAATACTGTGGCTACCTGATGTGAAGGGCAGACTCACTTGAAAAGACCCTGATGCTGGGAAAGATTGAGGGCAGGAGGAGTAGGGGACGACAGAGGATGAGATGGTTGGACTGCATCACTGACTCAACGGACATGAGTTTAGGTAGGCTCTGAGAGTTGGTGATGGACAGGGAGGCCTGGTGTACTGTGGTTCACAGGATCATGCTCAGACATGACTGAGCGACTGAACTGAACCGATTTATAATAGCTAAGACATGGAAACAACCTAAATGTTCTTCCACAATAAAATGGATAAAGAAGATATACATATACACAAAAGCAGACATACATACATACATACAATGGAATACAGTTCAGCCACAAAAAAGCAAATTATGCCATTTGCAAAAACATGGATGAATCAGAGATTATCATATTAAGTGAAGTAAGTCCTGAAGAGAAAGGGATAAATACAGGATATCATTTATATGTAAAATCTAAAAAGATACCAAAACTTATCTGCAAAAGAGAAATAAACTTAAAGACATAGAAAACAATTTATGGGTACCAAACAGAAAAAGCGTGGAGGGATAAAATAGGAGTTTGGGATTAACATATGGACATCACTATATATAAAATAGAGAACCAACAAGGACCAACTGTATAGCACAGGAAACTATACTCATTATCTTGTATTAACCTTTAATGGAAAAGAATCTCAAAAAGAATATATACACTGCATATATATACATGTATGTGTGTGTGTGTTTGTGTACAAATATGTGTGTGTGTATTTGTATAACTGAATCATTTTGCTATATACCTGAAACACAACATTGTAAATCAACTATATTTCAATAAACATTTTTCAAATGCCAAAACAATTCACCATAGTTAAAAACAAAAATAAAAATAAAAAGCATGGGCAGAGAAAAAATACAAAAAACTATGCTGGATATAGTAATTAAAACTTAGCACATAATGGGAAAATGGATAAGAAAAAAAGTTTAATAAAAAAAGAAATATATATTAATTACAAACAAAAAAGATGTTCCACTTCACTGATGAGAAGAGGAAAGCTTGTAAAACTAAATTTTAGTTATCATTTTTTAATCACATTCGTAAAAATGCAAAAAGTTTGATGACATACTCTATTTGTAAAGTTGTGGAGAAGAAACACACACTCTTAAACTGTTGGCTCTTACCTAAGGTACCTCCAGAATCCAACTACTTCTTGTAAATAACTCTCTTACGATCATCATCCCTTGCTAGGATTACAGAAATAGCTTCCTATATTGTTCCTGTTTTCACTACTATACCACTAGAGTCTTATCTTCAAAACAGACTCCTTTTAAACTGTAAAAACTGTAAGTCAGAACTATGATTTTGACTCAAAAGAATAAACGTGAAAACCTTGGGACTTCCCTGGAGACTCAGTGGTTAAGATTTCACCTTTCAATGCAGGGGTATGGGTTTGATCTCTGGTCAGGGAGCAAAGACCCCACATGCTTCACGGCCAAAAACCCAAAACACAAAACAGAAGCAATACTGTAAGAAATTTAATAAAGACGAAAAAAGTGGTCCACATCAACAACAACAAAAAACTTAAAAAAAAAAAAAAAAAACGAAAACCCTCTGAAACCCCCAGTGAGAGAGAATGTGCTCATAAATTGGAAGACTCATTTTGAACAAGATGCCAATTCTCCTCAAATTGAGCTATATTACAGATTCTATAGAGTCAGTGCAGTCAAAATCAAAATCTCAGCAGGTTTTCCTGAGATCAACAAGCTGATTTTCAAAACTTTCTACAGAGAAGCAAAGAACTTTGAATCTCCAAAACACTCTTTAAAAAAGTTGGAAGACACATGTTGATTTCAAGAGTTACTGTAAAGAGACACTCATCAAGAAAATGTGGTATTAGCAAAAGGATTTAAGATCATCAGAAATGAACAGAGTCCACAAAGATATAAAAAGTAGACTTGTGGTTGCCAAGTGGGAGCAGAGGCAGGGGAGGGAAGGACTGGGAGTTTGGGAGTAGCAGATGCAAACTACTATGTATATGACAGATAAACAACAAGGTCTTACTACGTAGCACAGGGAACTATATTCTATATCCTGTGATAAACTATAATGGAACAGAATATAAAAAAGAATGTACTGAATATATACACAAATACACACATATATATATTCAACTTATTCAATTTGTTATGCAACAGAAATTAACATTGTAAATCAACTATACTTCAATAAAAATATTTAGAAAATAAAAAAAGAAGTAAACAGAATCCAGAAACAGATCCATACATAGGATGCTAGTTGATTTCCCTCAGAAGTGCTAATGCAATTCAATGGAGAAAGCATATTCTTGTCAACGAATGGAGCTGACAGGTACGTACCCAAAGGTAAAAATCACAAACAAGGCAAGTGTATGCTCTTCTACTCACAATATTTAGATTCCACTGCTAGTACAGAATACTAAGACCCTCAGACACAGAAATTCTTAGCTTTAGATTAGGCCTAATAGAACATACTTTGTCCTTTCCTGAATGGCAATAATTACACTGAAATAAAATTTTAAAGCTGATCAAAAAGGAAATTACTGATATAAGAAACAAATACTTCGAAATCCTAAGAGAATACTATAAACAAGCTCATAAAAATACATTTAAATAAAAATGAACAATTTTCTATGAAAATGTAATGATGAAAGAAAAAAATACAAATCCAGCATAGACTTATGACCAATAAATACTAAAAATCTTCATGCAAAAAGTCTTCATAAGGCCATAATTCATAGGTGAGCTTCACAAAACCTACACGTAACACAGTTTTCTCATCTAAAATATTATTAAAGGGGCCGGAAAATGTCCCATTTCCTTTCACGAGACTATGACTATGCCATGATACCATAATTGAACATAGAAACAAAAGGGTATGTGTAATACAAAAATAAAAATCCTAAATACAGTACTAGCAAAAAGTCCTAGGAAAACATGTAAGAAGTAACTTACCAAACTTATTAGCAATTAAGGTCTACACAGGGATTTTAGTACACTGCTGTTGCTGTTGTTGCTAAGTCGCTTCAGTCATGTCCGACTCTGTGCGACCCCATAGACAGCAGCCCACCAGGCTCCCCCATCCCTGGGATTCTCCAGGCAAGAACACTGGAGTGGGTTGCCATTTCCTTCTCCAATGCATGAATGGGAAAAGTGAAAGTGAAGTGGATCAGTCATGTCCGACTCTTAGCGACCCCATGGACTGCAGCCCACCAGGCTCCTCCATCCATGGGGTTGTCCAGGCAAGAGTACTGGAGTGGGTTGCCATTGCCTTCTCCATTTAGTACGCTAGAAAATCTATTATACTGTTTACAGTATTTATAAAGGAAATAAGCTATAGTTTTGCTCCAATTGATAAACAAAATGTGTGTGTGTGTGTATGTGTGTGTTAGTTATTCAGTCATGTCCAACTCTTTGCAATCCCATGGACTATAGCCTGCCAGGATACTCTGTCCGTGGAATTCTCCAGGGGATCTTCTCAACCCAGGGATCAAACCTGGGTCTCCTGCATTTCAGGCAGGTTCTTTAATCCACATAATTTAATACGCATTCATGACTAATGTAAAATCTTAGCAAACTGGTTCCTGGAAGTAACCTACTTACCCTGACAAAGGTTACCTATCAAAGGCTGACAGCAAACATCACAGTGAATAGTAAGACAGTGTATATATTATCCCTCAAGATTGACTTGATCTATTTCTATTTTTTCTTTTCCATTAATACATGGATGCTTCTTAGACGTATAAATCCAGTACACTGCAGAATGGGGAAAGAATAAAGAGCTCACCTGAATTATGTTCATTTTCTGCTTTCGGGAGAGTAGAGAATTGTGGTTCAGCTGAGAGGACAGAAAGAAGATGGATGTCATGAGATTTAACCTGTCATATAGCTCCCAGATTCACCTCCCCAAATCTCAGCACCCCAATTGGGGATCATCTTCCTTATTTTCCTCGTCTTCCTCTGGGCCTTGAAAAGGCATGAGAGGGATCATGTCCAGGTGGCATCACCTCTCTTTCTGTGACTCTGAGATGACCGTGAGGATTACATCTGCGGTTTTTTACTAAGTGAATGTAAACTTTTCTCAACTGTTTAAAAATAATGCATTTGTCCTTATAACACAAATAAATAAAAACAACAGATTAGTTGAATTAAATACACCAAAGAATAAGACACTATTCTTTCATGAAAACTAACTTGGCAGAAAAATACTCAGTATATACCATTTATCTATTTTTCTTACTATTAATAATATTATTTACCCACTCGTATAAACAACCCACAGAAAGCCTAGATAGGATGCTATAAGGCAAGACATTTTAGTTGTTTTAGCTGTGATGTATTTGTTAAAAGGCCTTTTTGATAAGATGCTTTTGGTGACTAACCTATGACAGCATCATAGGTTACACAATTCTGTCACAAACTGAGTTTCCCTGGACAAATTACTGAACCTTTCAGGTTCGTCTTTAAAGTTTTCAAGACTGTTAAAATAGCTGACCTTGGAAAGCCGTTCACATATCATCATTCTGGGATCCTGTGCGGTCAGGATGTCACAAGTGTCACATGTTATGGACACACATGACAACAGCACAGCATCTGTAATAAGCAGGGGCCGTTTAAGAGGAGCAGAGACAGCATGTCCTCCCTCTGCTGGTTATTACCCCCAGCCCTTGCCCTCACAAGCTCTCCAACAAAATGTCTCTTCCTGACTAGCCTGCCCCTGGACCACCTCAGCTCACTTTGCTCTTCTCAGCAATGGCCCAAACTCCCCACTCTCAAGAGTCTGGTGGCTTCTGGAGGTGGCAGCATCACCAAGACCGGCTCATTCTGAGCAGGGGGATTAAGAACAGCTTCTGATCTTGCAAATTTAGGATCTACTCCTTTCTCGGCCCGGTCTGTCTCTGCTGTGAGATTCTGGAGTGAGGTCTAAAGTCTTATGCATGCTCTTGTCCAGGTAAGACTCCCTTTTATAGAGACTCCCTGCTTCCAACCTCACAAGGATCGCTTTATTCCAAGGTAAGTGGGATGCGGATCTAAGAAAAAAATTCATTTTAGGAGCAAACGCCTAATTCTTGGAATTCATTATTATATTACATGTAAAAGAGAGACATCCTGACAATGCAGAAGGGGCCAGGGAACTCTGTCTGCCCCAAGTGACATGAAAAGACACTAGAATTCCCAGAACACATCTGACACATGGTAGGATTCGATCTACATTCACGTTCCTTATATTCTGGGAACTGGGGGCAGGCCACTTTGCTAAGGGCTGTGAAGGCTACAATGGCGGTTTTAGGCTACTGTGATATTTAGATAAAGCCTGAGGCTGTAAGTAAAGCACACCTGCCCTTGAATCTGAATTCCCTTTACCACTAACTTATGACCTGAGCACATCGTTCCACCATCCTGAGCCTCCATTTTTGTTAAAGTGGTTGTGAGGTTACATAAAGCCGTCCAATGAAAAAGAATAAAGTGTCTTCCAACTATAATAGCACTGTAACTTACTCAGTGCTCATTATCTGGCACCTGTCTAAATACTTTGCAAGGGATGACTTAGGTCTAAGTTTCAAAGCAACACCATGAAACAGTCATCATTAGTCATTTTCATATGAGAAACTGGACTCTTATCCAGGTTCCTTCTGTAACCCTGCTTACAGGTGACAGACCTGGCATTTACCCAGGCCCTTCTGGCTCCAGAGCTAGGGTTCTCATTGCAGACCCATGGCCATCATCAGCGGTATAAATTCACTTTCTCTCCTGTCGCCGACATGGGCTTTTTCCCCTGTTAGGCTGCAGGCGGGGCTAAGTCCAAGGCCCCACACAACCAGGCCTAGACTGAACACATGCTCTTAACCGGACCAACCCGACCTGCACCCCGGGATCCCGAGGGCCCGGGTCCCCCCTTACTGGCCTTCCCCAGGCTGACGGCCCGCTCCGGCATGTACACCAGCGTTGGTGGGAGTGCGTTTCAAAGATTTTCCGCTCTCATCCCTAGGCACAAAGGCACCCCCTCCCAGCTGACCCCCCGCCCCCTCGCACTCTCACCCCAGGTGCGCACCCTTCACTTTCCGAGCAGAACCCACGTTACGACACCGCTCCCCTAGAGTTCAGAGAAGACGAGTGAGGAGGCGGGGCTACAGCTGCACACGCGCGGAAGAAGCCCAGAATGCTCTTCCCAGAGTGCTGCGCGGTGAAACAGACGGATTCAAGACTACATTTCCCATAGACCTCCGCGACCACAGTTGTGGTCTCTCTGGAGGCTTTTATGCATTTCAGAAAGCAGTAGAGCGGTGTCTTTAAAGTAACCTGTCCAGAATCTCAAGGATCTTGAAGAGAACAGGTTAAATTTTAACTTAACTGCCAAATGCGACGGGTGGGCCTCTATTGGCTCCCGATTGGAATAGCAGTTTTTTCATAAATCATTTGGAGACAGTTTGGGAAACTTGAATATGTGTTCAGTTCAGTCGCTCAGTTGTGTCCTGACTCTTTGCGACCCCCATGGACTGCAGCACGCCAGGCTTCCCTGCCCATCACCAAATCCAGAAGCTTGCTCAAACTCATGTCCCTTGAATCAGTGATACATCCAATCATCTCCTCCTCTGTCTTCCCTTTCTCCTCCTGCCTTCAATCTTTCCCAGCATCAGGGTCTTTTCAAATGAGTCAGTTCTCTGCATCAGGTGGCCCAAGTATTGGAGTTTCAGCTTCAACATCAGTCCTTCCAATTGAATACTCAGGACTGATTTCCTTTATGACTGACTGGTTTTATCTCCTTGCAGTCCAAGGGACTCTCAAGAGTCTTCTTCAAAACCTCAGTTCAAAATCATCAATTCTTTGGTGCTCAGCTTTTTTGTAGTCCAACTCACATCCATACATGACTACTGGAAAAACCATAGCTTTGAATATACTGACTTTTGTCAGTAAAGTAATGTCTCTGCTTTTTAATATGCTCTCTAGGTTGGTCATAGCTTTTCTTCCAAGGAGCAAGCATCTTTTAATATTCATGGCTACAGTTACCATCTGCAGTGATTTTAGAGCCCAAGAAAATAAAGTCTCTCACTGTTTCCATTGTTTCCCCATCCATTTGTCGTGAAGTGATGGGACCAGATGCCAAGATCTTTGTTTTTTGAGTGTTGACTTTTAAGCCAGCTTTTTCACTCTCCTTTTTCACTTACATCAAGAGGCTCTTTTGTTCCTCTTCACTTTCTGCCAATAAGGGTGGTGCCATCTACATATCTGAGTTTATTGATATTTTCTTTCAGCAATCTTGATTCCAGCTTGTGATTCATCCAGCCTGGCATTTCACATGATGTACTCTACATATAAGTTTAATAAGCAGGGTGACAATGTACAGCCTTGACATACTCCTTTCCCAATTTGGAACCAGTCTGTTGTCCAATGTCTGGTTCTAATTGTTGCTTGGAGTCCTGCTTTAATACCTAACACTTATTCCATCACTATGTTTTTCACAGTTTTTTAATAAAAAGAAAAGAATAGGTGTTCTTTTTCCATCAATGCTCCTATTAAAACTCAAGGTTGCCAGAAGAAGTCAAGACTCATTTTGGGAATAAGGCAAATAAGGCGTTTGAACATTGAGCACAGCAATACTATAAAAGAAACTATTTGAGACAAACAGAATTTATCTCAGGAAAGGGAAAAGAGGAATTTCAAAAATGATTAATGTATGAAAATACACATAATCCAAAATAAGAAAATGATTATCAAGAAAAGCACTGGCAGTTCCATGGTTAAGACTCTGAGCTTCCTTGGGTTGGCTCCCTGCTCAGGTAACTAAACTCCCACAACAGTGTGGCAAAAACAAAAAACACGTATTTCTCAGAGATGACTCTGCTGCCACCTTAAGTAAACATCCTGGTTTGTTTTTAACCAAAGTAGGTACATGTGAGAATAATATTATAGGGACATCTTTTAACTAAATTACATATATTGTGCTTGTTAACAAGTGCAGTATGTTACTATATTAACTAAATAAGAACTAATATACTAATATATATCAATATTACCTAGATCTTAGCTAATATTAATATAAATTACTAGTAAATATTTATATACTTAAAGTTAATATACTAACTAAATATATGCAATCTGGTTAATATTAATAAGGCCAATATTAATTCACATCAAACATATCATTTTTTCTATAACAATGATTTTTAAAGTTTGGTCCTATTCATAAGGTGAAAAGAGGAATACAGTCAGCAAGAAGTTAGTGCAACCTACGTAAGCAGAGACATAAAGCTTCAGCAGCTTTCCTAGGAAATTCTCACCCCCACCCGTGCCTGGAACACCCTGCCCCTGGTGCTCAGCCTCCTCAGAGTTCCCTGCTGCCAGGGTGGACAGGGCTCTGGGCCAGCAGAGAGGGCAGTGGGCACAGTGCAGTCGGCACAGTTCAGCGGCGCTAACGAGCTCTGCCCTTGCGCCCCAGCCGCCACCGCCGCGGCTCCCTCTTGGCGTCCTCCGGCCGCGCTATGCCTCCTTCAGGGAATCCATCGTGGTCAGGCGTCTGGGCGTCTCCCGCCTGGCTTGGCTGGATCCGGAGGCGTCTTCCCGGCAGAGAGGATGTGCTAGTGCTGGACTGGGCGCGTCCTCAGCTGCCCTGCAGGAATTTGTGGGCGTGCTCCCACGCCTGGGTCTTGGTGTTGCAGAAACCAAGACCCACACTGGGGAGAGTTGGCCAACTCAGGTTTATTACGCCAGCGGGCCCAAAGGAGTTAACACTCTAATCTCGGAGACCAGAATAAAGGGGTTACAGAGTTTTTATAGACAGACTATAGTGGGCAACACCAGCTACTAATAAGCTGGTTTAAACTAAGGGGTTTTGCACGCTTGGGAACAGCAGTCAAGATGGGGAGGGAGATGCCTGATCTTTACATGGACAGGCATGATTAAGCAGGTTTGCAGGGGCTGGGCAGTTGCAAAGAGCAGGACAAGGGTGAGTGAGATAAGCTCCAGTTCCTAGTATTGTAAGTCCCCCCTGTCTGAGACTACATGACCGACGTGATCCAGACTTTGCAAGGAGCAAGCTGAGTTACAGAGGCAGAAGGAGCAGGAGGTTATGTAAAAATTTAACTTTTCCTCTTCATTGGAAGACAGGGTGGGTTTCCCCGAAGTCGGGGATCTAGGCATGTCTCCCGTGGAGATGAGCTCCTGCTACATCCCATACCCCACCCTCCACCCTCTTCCCTGGCTAGTCCCAGGCCTGCATGAAAGGAATTTAGGTTTACCTCAGCTGCCTAAGGAGTCTTCTACATTGGTCAACTCCTGATGATCGTGGATATATCTCATTAATCAGATTGAATTTTTCCATCTTTGCAAAAATGGACCATACTCGGTGTCATGTGGACTCTTTGGGAAGGACAAGAAATGTATTTTTCATAAGCAATGCAGTTAGTTTGTTAACAATCAAATACCCTTCTTTTTCTTTAAATGCAGCTTTTAAGGTAAATACCATTGAACTTGTACTAGGAAAGCAAAAGGTGACAGTTTAGTAGATGGTCATCCCTACTACAT